GTCAAGCAAGTACACATAATTGAGAAATTTAAGCAGTATTGCACTATGTGGCATACAAGTCAAACAACTGAGAGATAGCGTCACAAAAATAGGCTATTTACTTTACTTAGGCTTCACAATCCAAACCAAATACACGGAAAGATAGAATGTATTTCCTAGCCTAATGTGCCAGCATCAACCATGTCAATGAGTATTTCAAAGCGACTCAGTTTCTTCCTAAACTAATCCTAAAAAAAAGTACCCGGTTCGAGCTACATCCTTGGAAAAGAACCGGTTCCCAAAGAAAAACCAAGGAATACTACCTAGCTATTCTAAAAGAAATCTTTTTGGTATTTTTAAATCGGACTTTTGTCCCTCAAGAAAATTATTCAAAAGATCCATCGTCGGGAAAAGTCTAAGCTTTTTCAAAACTTTTTTTTTTGATTTAAAGCAACTAAACTACACTAGACTAACTACACTAGAACTACTAAAAGAAACAAATTAAAACAAGTGGATACAAGATATACAGCTACAACACAGGTAGTATTCCTCCCACCCCACACTTAAACTATGCATAGCCCTCGATGCAAGTAAAAATGAAAAACAGAGAAGGCTAGGCTGTGGGAAGCTAAAACTCTCTCTTCTTTCAAGGACACGAACACAAGGAATAAAATACTTGAGTTCAGAACACACACTCCACTAAAACTCTCTCTTTTCTCTGTTGCTACTTGTGTTACTGCCTTACCTAGTCGGCTGAAAGCCAAGGCTAGGCTGTGGGAAACTTGCTTACTTTTTTCTACATTTGCATCTTTACTGGTATGTTCTAACTAAATTTCAGCATCAACAACAACATGTTTCTTTACTATTTCCTTCACCCTTGCTTGTTTCCTGCTTGTGTTTAATCAAGTTCCATTACTAAGCATGTTGTAATCTGCCTTTTCTGTTCTGAATCAATGCTTTCTTATGTATGAATTCTGTCAGTCAATTATTATGACTTATGAGTCCTAAACCCCCATATCCTCTATGTGTTTGGTATCTTAGGTTGGTTTGGGGCATGACAGCATTGGACATTGCTGTGCATGACCCAAACCTGGCCCCCTGGAGTCATAACCCCCATATCCCCTCTATATGTTGTGTGTTCTGGGTGATTTATGGGCATGCCAGCACCATCTATTGATGTGCATGCCCAAACCTGATTCCTGCCCAAGGATATATGCTCTTTGCAATGTATTCCCAAACCCCTGACCCCTTTGTATGGAAATGCTGATTCTGTGTTTTACTGCTACTATTTCCCATCACCCTACCCTTCTCTATTCTCCACTCAGTTTTAAATCTCCATTCCTGCACTTCCACCATATTCTTAGACTTAAGTTCTGCCCCTCTTGTGTGAGCCTTGCCTTGGGACCCTTGAGCTCCCTCTAAACTTGAACACATAAGGGCTGGCCCTTCCACACTGCACTCATCTCTATCCGGTTCTGCAAACATGGGTGTAAGCACTGCCCGGGGTCCTTTGAGACCATTAGGGAACTCTGACACACCCAGGTCTGGGAAAGGCGTTGAAACAAATGGCCTTTTGAGGTGGTTTATTCCCTAACTCAGAGAGGAAGTCAAGAATCAGACTTCCTCTGGTTGTAACCTCTTCTTTTACATTTATTCTGATGAAATTTATTATTTTGGTTTGTAATAATTTGTAATAAACACTCGGGGTTGGCTAGTGGAAAAGGGAGGGGGTAATTATGCATGTTCGTCTGTTAGAAGGGTAGAAAACATGCCTATAGGACTTGTGTTTCTTTTATTCTGCACGCTCAACTCTACATTTAGACACCATGTCTATAGGATCTGTCCTCTAATAAATTCTGCATGTTTGACTCTACATTTAGATAACTTGCCCATAGGACTTGTTTAAATTCTGCGCGTTTGTTACCACACTTAGACACCATGCTTTAGGATCTAAACGGCTATAAGCAGATATCATGTTCAATATAATGTATGGAAATCATGCCTATAGGAATTCCCAAGTAAAATCCTACCTGTTTCCATTCCACATTCAATTAGATATCATGTTCATAAGATCTCACCTCAACACTTAGGCAAGCCTTAGGTAATAACAACAAATAAAAACTGAGCCCGCTTCTGTTAACTAGTAATCGCTACAACCAGCAGGCAGGCCTGATTCAGACTTCTTATCTGAGTTACGTAATAAATTGGTCTGCTTCAAACTTAAACTCCCCTTGCCTTAGTACCTTTTAGATTCAGACCTTGATTGTTGTTTGAGTCATGCTATTTGGTTGCTTTGTTTGAGGAGGTATATATGAGCCTTCAATGTTTTATGAGCTTCCCCTTTTTAATGTGCAGTCCTATATATTTTGTATGTCGCCTTAGCTTTTTCACCTTTGAAACTTCAAAGTCAGCCTAATATCCCTTCCATTTAGGAATAGTAGTCCTAAGTGCCTCCGGGACTGATAGGAATGGGACGGGTAATAGCATGCAATAGTGGTCGAGACCAATCCGCGCTTTAGTACCTTAACGGGGTAGGAAGGATAGATATGGATATGAGGACCGGTGCACTAATACCACGTGTAGCCCCTCTTTTGAGGAGTGATTACCGGGTATTGCATTGATGTGATCCATATTACAAATAAACCTAGGACCTCCCCCTCCTCTTTCCTTTTCTTTAAATATTTACAGAATTGTAACTTCTTTTCAAAATCAACTTTTTAATGTTTGCTTTTTTTAAAACTCTGTTTTACTTTCAGACACTCGTGTATTAAATCCCCTCTTACTTGAGCCTTATCTATTTACATGTTAATTGTACCAAATTCACAAAGAACTGTTTGGCCGGGAACCATACTAGTGGATCCTAAGGGGTGCCTAACACCTTCCACTTAGGTTAATTTCAACCCCTTACCCTATCTCTGGTTATCAAGCAAACTTAGAAGTGAACCTTGTAGGTGTCCTAATGCACCATAAATCATTAGGTGGCGACTCTTCAAATGAATAGTCCAGTTCCCAAAGGGAACGAGTTGCCCTATACCCAAAATGTCATAAACCCGATCTCCCGATGCAAAGAGGGAAAAAAGGGGGTTGCAACACTGCTTCTATCACTGCACGCTCTGCATTACCTGCCATCTCTATTGGATGTGGTTGAACTACGATGTCCAACTCTCTTTCTATTCTAGTTCTAGCTTCGACTTCCCTCCTCACTCTGTGAAGCGTTCGTTCAATTTCAGGATCAAGAGGAAGGAGATTGTTTGCGCTTCTACTCCTCCGCATTCAAGAGAAGAGCCTGTGTTGACACAAACAAGGTAGACTGAAAATTAAAACTTGAACAAATAACTAATAAAAGCTTAAGTCAGTCAAGTAGCTAATTTTTAAGTCCCCGGCAACGACGCCAAAAACTTGTTGCTCCCAAACGCACACGCAAGTATACGTGGTCGTACAAGTAATAAAATGATAAGTCGAGTGTTGAACCCACAGAGACTTATATTAACTACTCACTAACTCACCAATATTGTTATTCAGTCAAGCTAAATTCGAGTTCAAGAGTTTAATTGTACTAAACTACAATTCTAAGTAATAACTAAATTATCAAGCAGTAGAATGATTGTTATGTATTCAATAGAGACAAGTATTCCAGGATTGTGATCGATTCACCAATCCTATTCTGTTCTAGTTAACTCTTCCTCTCATACAATTCACTCATGGTTGCTAATTAATCGATAATTGCTCTCATAGCCTTCTCCCGAAGTACTACTCGCCTATTCAAAATAGATTAACGCCTATATTCCTATGGAATAAATCTATTAAGAATGCATTAAGATTACGATATTTAATTAAGCACGGTGACTAGGTATATTCCTATCCTAACCACAAACCCCCCCCCCCCCCCAACCGGGTTAAGATCATGCTCTCTTTAATTCTTCTCTAATCTAAACACGGCTTTCCCAAGCATAGTATAGATAGTAAATAGAACCTAACTGCTGGCCAGACAATTACGCAATTAATCACAGAATTGGAGAAACAACCATATATTAGTGAATTATAATCGAGGTTAAGTCAACGTTAAACAACAATATTCATGGCTAAATCACAACCCCAGAACAATGGATTTTTAGCCACTCATGATACTAGCAAACAATTGCATAAGTTTTGAATAATTGAAAATACTAGAAAAGATGAAAAAATCTGAGATGTTCTTGCTCCCGGATGTTTCTCGTGTGTATTTTTCCTCCAAAGTGGCGTCTCTCCCTTCAGAAATAGGCTTAGTCTTTCTTTTATACGTGTTGGGTAGGTCTAGGGCCGAATAAATCGTGTCCCGGGCAAAATAGGACAAAATCACGTCACCGACGCCCTGGGTAGTGCCAGGCGCCCACCAGGGCGCTGCCCTTAATTTCTATTCTGTCTCCAGTGCCACAGGTGGCGCCAGGCGCTGGCTGTGGCGCCCAAATGCTCAATTTTCCGGTTATGTTTGTTTTGGCTCAAATTTTGCGCGTTTCGCCCCCAGTTGCCCCGAATCATTCCTACACATAAAAACACTTCAAATTAATATAAATCATAGCATTTAACATCCCAAATTCACGAAACAAAAGTAAAATATGAGGCGATATATATAAAATTATATATGCTTTAAGCTAAATATCACTACTACTGCATGTCTTACATATACATATACTACTACCCTTTTCTCGGAAAAAAAAAATAACAGAAGAAGAAAAAGATAAGTACCTATTGCTCCATTTCAACAACAACAATAAGAAAGAAGTCTGTTTCCTATAGACCCTCGGGTGAATGAGCTGCATTTCCTCTACTCCAATTTGCATTTTTATTTTAGTCATTTCTCTTTGCTAATCTCTTTGATAATAAAGAATAAAGATATTATTATTAATATTATCTTGTAGTACCATATAGGAAGGATAATATTGGGATTTGGGGTGGGACCTGTTTTACCATTTTATACTCCATAACTAAAAATCAAATAGTAACAAGAAAAGTCAAAGTCTATATAGAAAAGGGAAGTGGAGGCCAGGTTGAAGCTAAACTCAAAAAACCCAAATATCTATCTAAATATCCAACAAGGCAACAACCCCATCAACCAAATGAACAGCGCTCTAGAATTCTGTTATACTCTCTTCCAACAAAAGATATAAAAACAGAAAGGAAATATAACATTACAAAAGGGGAAGAGAATCAAAGCCACCCCAGAAGTTCTGTTTCCCTTTCCCTGAATCTTGAAACCCCATATAAAATATTGCATTTTTATTTTAAAAAGCAACCCCAGAAGTTTGTTTTTAATCTTTCTGAATCAAGAAACCTCAGGAACAAGCAAAACCCATATAAGAAACCTTACAAAGATTCAATCTGAAAAAATAAAGAGAAAAAAACAATGGCGGAGGAGGATGGTGAGGGGGAACAGAAGGGTTTCGTTTCAAGAAAATCTGAGCCGTCCAATTGGTGGACAACTTTCAATCGAGATCTAATGGCAGGGGCATTAATGGGGGGTGCTGTGCACACAATTGTGGCACCAATTGAGAGAGCTAAGCTATTGTTGCAGACTCAAGAAAGCAATATAGCGATATTGAGTGGTCCCCACAGGAGGTTTAAGGGCATGTTTGATTGCATAGTACGTACTGTTAAGGAAGAAGGGGTTCTTTCTCTTTGGAGGGGCAATGGTAGCAGTGTCCTCAGATATTACCCTTCTGTTGCTCTCAACTTCTCTCTTAAGGTAAACTACTCTTGCCATTTTCACATTTCAACTCATTTTTTTGTGTTTCTATAGCATTTGCAAGAAATGGATTTATTTTATTGAACATTTGCTGCTTTTTAACTTCTTGTGAATCACTGGACTAATTATTCTGTGAAAATGTTTCAATAATGTATGATGATACTGAAAGTTAGCTACATTTAGTTGACTTAATATTCAGTTGGTTATTGATGTCATATGACAGTTCTTTATATTGGTAAATGTGAATGTTTATAGCTGATTAAGAGTTTGGAATTCTATTCTGTCAAGGTGAATAAAGGTATACAGTCTCTTGATTTCATGAAATGGAAGCTATATTTTTCTTTTGTAGTCTTGGAAAAAGTATGCTGAAGTTTCGAAATGTTGGCTGTGTTGGAAGAAAGTAACAAATGCCTACAGAATGTGGTTCTTTTTTTGAATGGTTTAGAGGACAGGGTAGCATGACTTCTCAGAGAGACTTTTAGAGGTAGATCTCTCAAAAGTTCTCTTTGAAGTCATACTACAATCTACTGGCCGAACAAGATTCATATGGTTTTTGTTATGGAAAATAAAGATTTTCAATGCTAAAAGAGTAGGTGATTCATGGGTGGTTGGAGACCGAACAAGTTAGATGCAAGGAGGAAAAATTTTAAGACAGTTTCGTCATGCATTCTTTGGCTGGTACCAAGAGAAAGAATATAAGACCTCTGAAGGATTTGAGAGCTCTTTGTCAAAAATCAACTGCTCCCTCTCATTTAATTAATTTTTTGGTGTATCGAGGGTATCATTGTTATATAGATTGTTCGATTTGTTTCCTGGGTGTTCACAACGTACTTGTAACATATGTATTTGTATGCTCAAAACCATCTTGGTGTATATTAATAAAATTACTTGATTATCAAGAACATAATGTTCGGAGGATAGCTGCATAGTTGAATGGAGGTACAAACTTACTGGGTGGGGGTAGGTTTTAGAGGGGCAAGCTATTATTTAGGTCTTAAATTTGGAAATACTGAGTAGGAAAATGTCAGCAATTATAAACTATCTCTTACTTTGAAATTTATGCATAAATTTGTTAATTATTTTCCGTTGTTGCTTTACTATATTGTATATAGATTCTTATTATGTATGTTAATATAAGAGCTAGATAGGCACCCAGATGTGACCTAGTGAGTAGTGAAGTGGGTGCAATCCCAGCAGAGACAAAAAAAACAAGATGATTTTTTCTCATCTGTCTAAGCCTTGGTAAGCAGATTTACCAAGTATTTATGCTGGTGTGAAGCAGTAGGTACCCGGTGGAATAGTCGAGGTGTGCCAAGCTGGTTCGGACAACACCATTATCGATTAAAATATAAGAGCTCAATGAAAGGAAAATGTAGCTCCGTGAAGTACCCATATGGAAGGAAATACAAAACGAAAACAAATTGAGGCTTAAATTGCATGAATGTAAGAAGATGCAGGTAGCTTGTCATGCAGCATCACGAATTGATGCATAACCTGAAAAACATGCTATTTACCACCCTAGGTCTTTTCTTTTCTTTCAAGCAGCTCAAAACTCAAGGCCTTGCATAGCGTTGTCTATGAAAGTGAACTTCGTCTGGAATCAACTGCGAGTAAGATCCAAGTTTTAGTCTTTTGTTTTTGTCCTTCTCAATAGTTATCACTAATCTGGCGCCTGCTTCCAACTCTTCCCATCTCTCTACATGCAGTGTTGTCAAAGGCGCGCTTAAGCGAGGCTCAAAGCATGTTGTGCACTTCGCCTCGCTTTGCGGGCACTTCAGTGTCGCATCAAGGCTCTAAAGCATACTTTTCCTTGCCAATGAGTGTAATCATGAAAAGGCGACACTGAACAATTGATATTTCACTTTATCGTAATTTTTTTGTCCATATATTTGTTATTCATGCTTATAATTATTGATCTTGGACTACATATACATATTTTTACTTTTTCTCCATTTTCGCCTTTTTTCATTAAAGCACACGCTTTATTTGCGCTTTGCGCTTAACGCCCCAACAGACCTTAGAGCTTTTTGCGCGTTTCGCCTTTGATAACACTGTCTACATGTAAACATCAAGTCCACTCTAATTTGGTCATCCCTTTTGTCTTTAAATTGCTAAGCAAAAAGCTGTTGCTTCTGAGGTATCAGTAAATGAAAAACCACATCGATTTTATGCTTCTGGAAACATGAAGCTGTAAATAAAATCAGCTTTCTTTCAGCAGGAAATAAACTTCCTTCCATCTGATGACCTTTCCGTGTTCAAGTATAACTTTTCAAGTTGGATAGATGTCTGTTCAATCATATATAGTTTCTTTATTTTCTTAAATGCTGGGTTGCTTTTTTGGAGAAGAGGCTTTTAAGTATCAATGGCAATGGGACAGTTTTGTCTTACCCCACTTCTGTTCCTGAGGCTCAATAACTCACTATCAATCTGACATCATACCCTTCATCTGGAATTTCATTTAAAGACCTTTTACCAATCATTCTTGGAAGAAAGTTTATGAATCCAACATCAACCTCCTCTAGAAACTAGACGTTTGTAGCTTTAGCTGTAAAATTCTTCTCATCATATATCAACTCTTTTCTTCTTTGGGTTGGTTGCAGCAATCTTGATCCACTGCATTCAATTTCTTCCGTACAAGGGATTTGTCTCGGATGGTTGAACGAGTTTGGTTTGAGGAATTTTCTATGGAGAAAAACTTGGGAAAGTGGAGGGACTTGGAGAGGTTGTTAAGGATGAGGGTGGAAACAAGTGCCACCTGTGGGTGGTATTTTCGGCACAGTGGACATGCTGCTGTAAAGGGTGAGGGACGAAGCGCTAATGTGAAGAGATACTGGAGCCCTTGTTCTGATTTTTCTCACTTCACTCTGTCCCACCTCGACTTGCCTTCTTTGAAAGGTTCTCTTGCCCTGCACCTGAGTAACATCTCCCCATCGCCGTGCCACTTTACTCTACATGTGGCTGGTTATACTCTACTCTACTCCAATCCCTTCTTTCATTTTCATTTGGAAAAGCAATGGCCATCAGTCCTCTCCAGTCTGGACTTCACCGCACTGGCTAGATTGGAAGTACCAAAGCTAAAAGTTTGCTAAATGAAAAAGCAAAACAGTAGTAATAATAAAAAGAGAAATAAGAAGTTAAAAGGATAAAGAAGGAGAAGGAAGAGGGAGGCCTTTGCCAAGAAGTGTGTGAATGTTCTGCTTGCATCTGTATGCAACATTTGCCATTGGATTGAACACACCCAAGATTTATTTCAGACTGCGCCCCCTTTGATGTCGGTTCAGCTGTGAAGGAAGTATGATGCAGCATGTGTGGTAGGCGCATGTTACATGTTCGACCTGCCGCTGACCAAAGTCTGATATTTAAGTTGGAGGAGGGTAGACAGGAAGGCCCATACTACCCTGAGTATCAAATCTGTGCGCCAACTGGGCACGAGCCAGCTAACCCACAGGGGATTTCTTGGTTATAAAAAGAAAAGATTTATTTTGAATCTTCTGCTAAAGTCTAAGTACCCTAACTAACACATTCCACTATCATATGAAGCTAAATTGAAAAGATGAATTGACAGCACTAAGGATTGCTCGGAAATATTTCTATATACAAAAGATAAAGTCTTTAAAGAACTTAATCCATTGCTATATTTGCTTGAGTTAGGGCTGTAAAGTTGAAATCTGTCTAAATTCTTGTTCTTGTGGGCAAGTATCTTGATACAAGAAATCTGTGGGATGACTTTGCAAAAGGATTTTTGAGTTTTGAGCTGCATGTTTCACCGGTTTTTCTGTCTTCCGTCTTCTGGATTCTCATGTGATAGGTCATTGGACAATGGGGATTCATGAATCTTGTTAGTACACTATAAAACACGCATTTCAATGGCATTAGTTTACATCATAATAGTCTGTATTGAAAATTATTTCCTTGATCATCTGCTCGTTTAGGAATTGGAAAACGATTACACCATAAGTTACAAATCATTTCTTTGTTGAAAGGAAAGAGACCCTTCTCCTGACCTTATCAAAAAAAGAAACAGAAAAAAAGAGAGAGACCCTTCTCTACTTCATTGTTTTTCTGACATGTTAAATCCATTATATACTACTCCCTCCGTTTCAATTTATGTGAACCTATTTCCTTTTTAGTCCGTGCCAAAAAAGAATGACTCATTTCCATATTTGAAAATAATTTTACTTTATGCAATGATTTTAGCCATACAAAATATATGTGCCTCATTTTAGACCATACTTTTTAGGGATAGTTATTACAGTCAGCAATACTATGAGATCCTGTTATTTTCTCTCCTAGTTGTCCTCTACGTGCAGTGAGCTTTGAGTCAGGAACAGGTTTTTTTTTTTTAAAAAAGAAAAAGGAAAAAAGAGAGACGATTTTCATCATGTGATTGACTAGGAATTTCATATCTACTGCCTATTTTCCTCTCTTTTAACACACCCATATACATTTAATAGAAGTGTCTTTTATAAACTTACAACCCCCTTAAGGCATCTGCAACCTATTTCTGATTTTACAGAACCAACCATGTCATATGCAAACATGATTGTTGATAATTTTCTACACAATATATTACTACTATGAATTACCGTAGAAATGACCCATAGTGGTTGATATGGAATTGCTCATGCATCCTGTCGTGAGGGACATGGCTATTTGTTTTAGATCCTTCATTATCTTTTCCATTAATATCCCCTAGAGCTTCTGTAATGTATTACATGACTTTGAGTGAGGATTGAAGAGATTTTGTCTCAAGAACTGATGGCATGCTTTTCTGAACATAGGATCTCTATAGGAATATCTTACACAGCAACTTTCGAGATGGTCACCTTTTGGCTGGTTCATCGGCCAATTTTGTTGCTGGGTCTGCAGCTGGATGTACAACGTTGATCATCATTTATCCACTAGATATTGCACATACACGGCTCGCAGCTGACCTTGGTAGGTATGAAACTCGTCAGTTCCGTGGCATTTACCACTTTCTGAGGACAATACATGGGAAAGACGGGATTCGAGGCATTTACAGGGGGCTTCCTGCATCTCTTCATGGAATGGTTGTTCACAGAGGGCTTTATTTTGGGGGTTTCGACACCTTGAAAGACAAGATGGCCGAGAATTCTGAAGCAGAGGTACCATTATGGAAACGATGGGTGGTAGCTCAAGCTGTCACAACATCTGCTGGCCTATTGTCCTATCCATTGGATACAGTTCGGAGGCGAATGATGATGCAATCTGGCTTGGAGAAGCCAATGTACAGAAACACATTGGATTGTTGGCGGAGGATTTACAAGACAGAAGGATTTACTTCATTTTACCGTGGAGCTCTCTCGAATATTTTCAGAAGTACCGGCGCAGCAGCTGTTTTAGTGTTATATGATGAGGTGAAAAAGTTCATGAATTGGAGTGGATTATAGCATAAGGGTGTTTCAGGTCAATAGCAATCAATACAAAGACCAAATTAGATTAGCCTTACTTGTTAAAGATGCATTTTGATAGCCACAAAGGTAACAAACATACAATGTTGTAAACACGTTCAGATTCTTTTCACTTTTGGTTCACAATAAAAAATCAGAACTTTCAAAGTTACCCACATTGTAGTTCCTTTCCACTTACAGTAGACTATTTTCTTGCAAAATTTTTGCTTGAATGGAGGAAAATATTTTTAAGGAAATATTCTTTTTGTAGAAAGTGATTGCCCTTATGAATTTGGTTGGGCATAAACTATGTGAGATATGGTAGTGTGAAAGGTGTAATGTATGGTATGATGACAATGAAAACAATAATATCAAAATTGCAAGCTCGTGAACCAGCTAAATTGCTGGATAAACCATTGAGCTGCTTGTTCAAAAATAGGTATTGTCGATAAATAAACAAATAAATAATAAATAAATAAATTTAATACATTAAACAAATGGTTTCCACAACACACAACACAAAATCTGAGGGGCTACTCTAACCACTAGTGCCCACTAGTTTCTGCAATGCCATCCCCCTGCAATTATCAAAAGTGAAGAAGTGTGTTATATAGACAGAGAGAAGGAAATATAACAAGAAAATGAACCAAAATTCAAATTTAATATGCTCTTTGACGCACCAGCATTATCATAGCAGTATGGTCAATAACAAGAGGATGGACTAAAATCCAGATTTAATGGGCAACATCTAATGAAGCTACTACATCTTAGCACATGAGGGAGGAAAATGGGAGGTGGTGAAAGAAATATTTACCTTATTGGTTTTCTTTACATTTCTTTCATTCCCTTTCTCCTTCTCATTCTCATCATCCTCTTCTTCATCATTCTCTTCTACATAATATTCCTCTTCCTCATCATCACCGTCGTCATCTTCTTCTACTTCTTGTTCTTCTTCTTCATCGTCAATGGGAACAGCCTCTCCAGTAAACCAAGACACGGCATGAGGAATGATCTTTTCTCGGATTGTTGACCTACAATGACAAAATCAATAGAACAGCTCAGCTTTTGATCAGAAAAATAGCCTAGCAATCAATGCATGGACATGCATCTCTAGAAAGAATATGCTATTGGACAGTTCAAATATGCTAAGGATGTTTTTACCACCTGCCAATACTTAGCAGATATAGGGGGCATGCTTCTTGTTCTTTTTCTTAATTGATGTTTCTAGCTGGAGATGTCATCCTCGAACTTTCTACTCACTCTTTATTCTTAATGGCAACTGTATAAGTTATTAGTCAAATGAATCCAGATTTTAGTTTTCACAAAGTTACTCATCCCTGCAGGGCAGTTAAGCTGAAGAAACAAATATCCGACAGGCGACAGCACAAGAAGCTTGTGAGCCCTAGCACTGTACATTCAAAGAATACAACAGTGTTTCTTCTACGAATGCTTAGCATATATCAAATAAAAGATATTGCGGAAAAAGACACATTATCAAGAATAGCAAAGTTGATGAAGATTGTGAATTCAGCATATGAAATCAAAGTTGAGACCGTGGCTTTCAGGTCATTTCAACAATTCATCTACTTAATAACTGGTTACACTATCAGTTACTCTGGTTAGGGACAGTCATTACTACAGAACTTACCCAATCTCATAATCTTGTTCCATCTGACTCTGAAGCAATTCAGCCTTCAAAACATACAGCACAAAAAGCGAGGTCAATTAGCAGCAAGAAGCGGAAAGCAGTCTGCATGTTTTAAGTAACGTATTCTCCAAATTCACTTACGGTTTCCTCATCAATTTCCTCTGCATCTTCTGGAAGCTGAGGTGGATCAAAAAAATGAAAGAAACTTTCACATTCCTCAGTTTTTATGATTGGTTTTGTATCGTTGGATCCCTTCTTTGGTTTCTTCTTCACGATCTTCTGTGTCAAACTTTTCCTGGGAAACCATTCGATCTCTGTCCTAAATATATCCAACAAGTACATGCATTTAGAAGGAAGCAACTCGGAGAGAGTTTTCATATTGGCAAAATAATAATATAGCTGTACCCTATTGCATTCTCAAGGATATGCTCATCCTCGCTAATCATGTGATATGTCTTTGTCAGCACACTGTTGCTAAAATAGGGATTTGTATCAAAAAAGAACTCAAGCTTAAAACCCTTGGCATCATTAAGTCTACTCCATTTGACATCTTTCAGATACTGGAGCGCACCTTCATCTCGCTCAGTGATCTGAAGTATAAGCAGACTGATCAATCAGTAGAACAAGCTATAGCAGAGAAATTAAATGAAATATCAAACTCAGGTTACCTCCTTAGCAATTGCTTCATTATTTTTCATCGTCAGCAGCCAGAAATGGGGAATACCTTTATCTGCACGCAAGATTCATATTCATCAGAAACAAACCAGAAATGTAGCAAAGATAGTACTGAAAACATGATTGACTTGCAAACGAATACCTCCAGCTGATTCATTGGTTTCTTTATCTACTGTGCCCTCATTTTCAGCTTCTACCACACCATTCACAATCTCGTATCGCTGCAAATGCACCAAAGAATATGTTTCAGCAACTATACATGTACGTATACAATACACAGACACACACGCACACACAACTCACCTTGTTGTAAAGTGGCTCATACAACTTCTGGAACTTTGCTTCCAAAGCTGCTCTCTCTTCAAGGAACTGCGCCTCTAATTCATCATATTGGCTCTGCATATATCATGTCAGAGATCAAGGATTGAAACGAATATGGGAAGGAAAACAAAATTTTGATATTTATACCCGATTAGGCTTTGAATTCAAGCAACCAAAACAGATAGAAACAAAATGACATAAAACCAAACGAGGCAACAACACGTCTTTTTCTTGATTGTCTCAACACCAACTATAGTTTAACCATAAGTCTAACTTCACTAGTTATAAAACTAAACTCAATTAGCTGATGCAAATAATGGTTACACAATGATCTGCTTTATTGTGATAGAATAATGTTCTTGCACTGGATCACTAGAAATGCAATGAGGAATCAACTTCTTAATATGATATCTCAAAGTGCATAATTTACAAAGAATGCCGAGAAAAGAGTGCAATCAGGATCAAGCTCACTATATACAACTTCAAATTAAGTATTATCAAGTGAGAAACTAGGTAGATGAAATTCTTTGCCATTAAGAGTAAAACCTGAATCTCTCTGAGGACATCAACACGTTTCCTAATGTTTGGAGGAAGTTTTTCAAGAAAACCAGAATGATCCCTTGCCAGATCATGAAGCTTGTTCTGCATCACATTTAACCAATAAATAAATAAATACATTGAGAAAAAAAGAAGCTAAATCACTAAAAAACATGCACTATATAGAAAGTAACTCAGCAGAGAAAAAGAGCACCTTGATGGCATTTACAAGATCTGCACGATCCTCAGCAGAAAGAACTAAAAAAACAATAATAAAATCAAAATGTGAATCAGTTAGCAAATGATCTCATATTCATTAAGGTTAATAGTTTCATACCAGCAGTGGCAGCAGGGAGATCAGAGCCTACATTATCAGCTGTATTGACCTGATCCTTTTGATCACTCATAGTTGTTACTACTAAATTCTGAGTAACACCCAAATGCTGAGAAATCCAAGAAAGTTGATTGGTGGATGTAGTGTGCAAGAACAATTGGACAGATTAAAATAAAAGTCAAATTGTAGCTAAGATGAAGAGAGAAAAAGAAAAATCTTTGAGGACAGAAAGAAAGCACACGTTGCTGATGTTTCTGGTGGCAGTTTAATTAGATATGTGATGATTTGTGTCAACTGGTCACTGTTGACTCCTGCCAGCACACTTGGACTGTCAGTTGTTCCCAGTTCACTCCATGTCAGCAACATTTTACATTTTTCTTTTAGATAGTGTAAAAAATAGGGGAGCTTTGAAGCAAAGGTAAAGTTGTCTCTGTGTGACCTATAGGTCAAGGGTTCAAGCCGTAAAAGCAACCACTTATGCTTGCACTAGTGTAGTCTGTCTACGTTACATTCTTGTTGTGCTACCTTTCTCCGGACTCTATGTGAATGTGGGATGCTTTGTGTAACGGACTGTCCTTTTAGTATAAAAGATGAGGTAAAGATAAGTACTACTCTCTCTTCCAACTAGTGATAGAACGCGCGCGAGGCGCGAATAATTTGACAGAATATTAATTTTGTAAAATTATGATCTAATATATCATATTATTTTAATAAATAATAGTTGTTATTTTATTATTTCATATTGTGCACATAAATATAACAAAAGCTATACAAAATCAAATGACACACATTATATAGTAATCAAATAAATTATTTGTACTTTATGTATTCATTATTATTATTAAATTATGTGATTAATTAATTCAAAATATATAGATCATAAAATTATCGTTATCCCCCTCCTTTCGTACTTCTTTTCTAGTGTAATATTTGTTTAGTTTTCTCATTTTTTATTTTTACTGAAAATTTAAATAATGTGATTTTTAACTAAATTATAATTTTGAACTCATCAAATGTATAAATAGATAAGCCTCTTATTATTTTTATAAAAAACCTACCAATATTTTTAATAATTATTAATTTATGCGACATATAATATGCTTATTTATGTATAATATTCTAATAGTAACTTTATATTCTTATATTTTTCGTTATGAAATAATGAGTTCTATTTATAAACTAAAATTGCCTACATGAGAAACTCAATTAGTAGATATATATTTTTACTCTATCGCTTCAATTTTTTTTTCTTTTTTTTAGTATTCTTCGTTTATGACTATTTGTTTATTATAATTTAATTATGTGTATATGTACGACTTTTCTCATCATAATTCTAATTGTAAGTCTTATATTTATATATTTTCCCATAATTTATTTTTTTGTTCCTTGCTTATCTAATTGTATTATCCATTATTTAATATTATTAAATTGACACATAAATATTTAATAAATTACTAGTTATTATAATACAATGAATATAATTTTGTATTACCCTTGAAATTTAGCTTGACATTATCATGTATGACTTTCTTAAATTATTTCGATAGTTAAATTTATCAATAATATTTTTGAGTATTATCTATTTACTTAATTTTATCAAATAAATTTAAAGTGTTGATAGAATCACACTATATCTATTCTCCTCTTTATACATTTATTTTGTTCGACAATATTTAATCATTTTCATTTAGGGGTTATACAATAATATTATTATTTTTCTAAATGGGTGGTGTTGAATTAGTTCAAAGGTTAAATAGAGACGTTCTTTTATTATATGTCATAAATCTACTAATAATTATAATAGTTATTATTTTTGTATTATTTTCAATAAGAAATTAAATTGAATTCTTCTTCCCATTTGTATTTAATATGAAAGTTTAATTCTTTATATTAAAAATTACTACATAATAAGTTAAATTATTTCTTTATATATTTTATTTATTTCTTGAAGTTATTGTTATGTTTTTGTCTTTAGTTTTATGTATTATGATATTATTAGTTGCATGATCTTGTCCATATAGCATGACCATATGAATTATTATTCAAAAACTTTCTCATCTAAAAAAAAAATTAATCTTATCATTTTATATATCTCTACATTGAAGTTATTTATTTATATATATTTTTTCCTTTTTTTTTATAATAGTTTCCTTAAAAATATATAGGTATTTAATTATTTTAAAACTAAATTAAAAAGACTAACTAATTTTGTCCTAAAATTTGACACTTGTTGAATTTTTGTTGTGACACTTGGCATTATCTGATTTGCTTCTCCTATTCTATATAGATATATTTATGTGTTGTACTAACTTGGACATGAAGTTAGGAAACAAGAGTTTTTAAATTTGTGATCTTAAATATGTTATAATATTTGTGTGACTATAAAATTTTTTGACTAATGGTAAAATCGAAAGTTTAAAGTTAAATAGTTTTCGAACAGAGGGGGAGCCAGGATTTGAAACTTATGGATTCAGGATTCTAGTTATTTTAGGTTACTGGGTTCTAAATTAATAATTTAAACATATTCAATGGATTTCATAAGACAAATATAGGATTTGACAAAAGCTAATGGGTTCAGCCGAACCCCTAAGCAAAAGGCTAACTCCGCCCTTGTTTTCCAGTACAAAAATATATCATTAGCTTTTTAATGGATTAATAGGGAAATAGAGTCATACAAATTGAAACATAAGAGTACAAATTACATTAAAATGTGCATTTTAGTCCTTAATCACCTAATCTTTTTTACTTCCACCCTTTCTTTTCGAGTTTCTTACAATGCTTTGTGACCTATCCAAAAGAAAATGTCAAAATAGTTGAAGATTTTGGGGGTAAAGGGTAGCTGTATATCAGTATTAGTATATATGTAATCTTACTATATCAGCTAAGGATTTATTGTTTGCTAGTTGCTACTTTCCTAGCGAGGTTATTCTTATCTTTTATACTAGTATATATATACACTTCTATTAATACAAGGATACATTATTATGGTGTCATTGCCAAATCTGATAAGCTCGCTTCCAGAAACTTTCTTCTTTCTACATATTCTATGGTTTTGTGCTTCTATGTCTCAACTTAACCAATCTTTTAAAATGTAATATTAACGAAACACAACGAAGCAATGGCTGAAAAACCACGTGGAATTGCTATAGCTTGGAACTTCAAGAATAAAATTTTGACCAAGAATTTATGTGATAATTATGGAGATTCATTACCTTTAAAAAATTTAGTGCCTGCAACAATGACCGGCAACCAATTATTAGAAAATTCAATGAGGCGCAAGACCATGTGGAATTAATTTGATTTGTAACTTCAAGAATATGCAGGACATAATATCAGAAAAGATTGGAACTGATTAGAGTGATAATTTCGTGCAAATCCATATTAGGAAAATATTGGTACAATTTTATCCAACATAAATTATATTGGAAAGAAACAACCTATCTTTTGAAGGGCTCAGCAGTCACTGAGGCACATAATGACAGTACAAAAATACGATTTTATTGATATTATAGCAGTACATAGCAGTACACTACTGCACTGTATTTTATTTCCTTTCCGATAGTTAGTTGGTAGTTGTTACTGTTCATTCTATTAGTTAGTTACTGCTTTCCATTTGTTAGTTACAGCTATTAGTTAGCTGTTAGTTGGTTAATTAGTTATCGATTGATTAACTGTTGCTTAGCTGTCATTAGTCGATCTTATTGTATAAGAAGAACCCAGCTCCAGCATAATTGAATGAGATTCTTATTTTCACTCAATCGAGAGACTCCATTTCTGTGTTCTAGCTTCGATACCTTGGAAGCTTCTGATTGCTTCCTCCATTGTAGTCTGTGGAGCTTTCTAAGCTCATGCTTCTTCTAGCTTAACATGGTATCAGAGCGAGTCCTCGCGACGAGATGATCCACTGAATTATAGTTTGCAGTCTACTGTCTTCTTCGCACTCAAAAATTCATTTATCAATTCATTCGATCGAGGATTTTTGCATCCTCATCTTCTCAATCAATCAATTTTCTTCTTATTCATTCTTCGTTTCAAGCTAAGGCAAACATGGCGAGATGATGCAAACACTGCGTATGCGACAATAGCAGAGATCCAATCGACAATCGATGTGAGTAGTCCACTTTACATTCATCCCTCTGATAGCCCTGGGATAGTTTTAGTTCCAGTACCTTTTGATGGACTAGGATATCGTTCATGGAGGAGAGGTGTGTTGAGATCCCTATTTGTTAAAAACAAATTAGGTTTCATCACTGGAGAATGTGTAAAGCCTAATTCGAATTCATTAAGTTTTAGGCAATGGGAGAGGTGTGACGATTTGGTAACCTCATGGATTTTGAATTCACTTGCAAAGGAAATTGCAGACAGTGTGGAGTATGTGAATAGTTCGGTTGAATTCTGGAGAGAACCCGAAGATCGTTATGATCAAACAAATGGAGCAAAATTATACCAGATCCAAAAGTAAATCAATAATTTGAGCCAAGGAGTACTCGATATCACTGGATACTACACAAAAATGAAGAAATAATGGGAAGAATTAACCAATGTGAGTGCAAAATCCATCTGTAGCTGTCAATGCACTTGTGGTGCAAAAGAGAATATGCACAAAGTTGAATAGGACAGGAGATTGATACAATTCCTAATGGGCTTGAATGAGGTTTATATTGTGGTTCGGGGGAGCATTCTAATGATGAATCCCTTGCCTTCAATGGCACAAGCCTTTGCTCTTCTGGTGCAAGAGGAGAAACAAAGAGAATTTCGACCAAGGAATCAACTGAATTTTGAGTCTACTGCAATGAATGCTAGTATGACAGCTTCAAGAGGATTCACAACAAACTTCTCAGTAAACAGTTGATCGCTGCCGACTCGACGCTACACTAAGGTAGGAAGAGCGGGTCGCAATAGTTTTTACCCGAATAGTGGTTCGGGATCGAATTTCCACAGGGAGCTAGTAGTGGAGTTGGATTTTCTGTCTAGTCTAGAGATGTGTTTGTACTCCTAATGTCAGTTCAAACATTCTTGATTTTTGATTATTTATAACGACTATTATAAGATTAATGATTAACACTAAATTATGCTAAGAGAATATTGCTAAGTTGTATGTAATATAAAGAAAGACACTAGGGTCATGGCATCACCTAGGTGGTTATTTAACGGGTGGAAACTACTAAGGATAGATTGACATATTTGGGGCTTATGCTATAACCGTTGCACAGTTGTACCCATTCTCACACCTCTCGGTAGAGAGAATGATTT